GGGGGGGAGGGGGGCCACCTTGTTTGTAAGCACCCGGCTGCCCATCCCAAACACGGCCAAGGCCGTGCCGCAAGCGGCGAGGCAAGGCAGTCGTCCCTTTACGGGGGCAAGCGGTCAGAGGTACATTCACACGCACGCACGCACACACACACACACACACACACACACACACACACACACACACACGCACACACACACACATCAGATCCCTCTGCCAGCCTCAGGAGGCAGGCTGCTTGAGAGGACCCGACAGAGGCGCCGAGGAGATGACTGGCGCCCTCGAAGGAGGAGACTTTGTTAATGACCCGCCCCCTCCAGAGGTAGTACTCGCCCAGTCTCCTTCGGCCCGGGATAGCCATGGCGAGTCCATCCCCAGGGGCGAGCGAGTCCGAAATCGGTCAAGGCAGCGAAGCACAACCATACAGACGCCGGCATCACCTCCTCCCGGGAGATCGGGCGCTCCCCGAGTACGAAGCGAAAGGAGGGCTCTCGGCCAGCCGGCGCCGGACAATCGGCCTCGGCCGGTGTCATCTGTGCGGAGGGCTTGCCGTCTGGGTCCGGCCCTGTCCCGCCCCTTCCGGGCAGCCAGCCCCCGAATGCCGCCCTCAAGCCGAGCGCCGCCCCGGCCACCGCCTCCGCCGCACCGAGGCCGGCCGGATAGCCGGACTCCCCGGAATCTGGTACCCAACCCCGGGAAGGAGGGCCGGCCGGAAAGGTCTCACGCCCAGCGCCGGCGCCCTGGCGGCCGCCGTTATCCATTTAAAACGGTCCGCTCCGCGGCCGGGCCGCGCACAGGGCACGCGAACAGAGGCGCCGGCGCCTAGCACGCGCGGAAGACTTCGCTACGCTCTCGCCGTGGCTGCCGGCCCCCGGGGGCCGGCGCGCGGCATGACGGAAATGACCTCGCCTTGGTGCCATCTCAGGGCAGCCCCCGGCAAGAGAGAAGGGTTAGCCACGATAGTCACAGGGTTCCCGCCCTCCGGGGCGGTGGTGCTGTGGTCGTAGAACCGTGAACGGGGGCAGAAAATGTACGCCTGTGCGGGCCCCGGGCGTGCTGGCACGTCCGCACCGCGAGCCGCTCCTCCCTGCCCCGCCCCCTCCTTCCCTCCTCGCCCCCCTCCCCTGCCACTTCCCGCGGCTCGCGGGAACAGCATGCTGCTGGCCCTGCGGCAGCAGGTCCAATTACGAAAAGCCCCCTGGAGGCCTCAAAAAAGGGCCTCAAAAAAGCCCGAGGAATATCTGGAAGTCGGCCTATGCCCGGGCGGCCGCGACACCGCTCCCCCCCCCCCCCCCCCCCCCCCCCCCCCCCCCCCCCCCCCCCCCCCCC